AGAAGGGGCGTTGTCTTACCTGAACGCCTTTTCTCAGCACGGAGATGGAGGATCCACCTTCCCCCCCTATTTCTTTTGTGGCATTGTTACCTAGGATAATTTAGTTTCTGAGCCAGTACGTCCTATGTCAGTCAATGGCTTCGCTCGCGTCAAGACTGGGAATCTATGGTCCAGGACGGGCGTGGCAACTTTGGCTGACAATCTGATTGGGCAGGAATACAGTCTACTACCCATGGGTGGATCCTCCATCTCCGTGCTGAGAAAAGGCGTTCAGGTAAGACAACGCCCCTTCATCTCTTTTTTAAAAAAAAAATCAAAGTGTAAAAGCCGGCTAAGTTCTACTCAGTAAAAGTTATTATACAATCTTGTTTTGTGTCAACAAAATAATATTTACTTTATAAAATTCTGATATTGCTAGTCAGTAAGATGTGTCAGAGGCTATGCAGGGCATTGAACCCTCATCAATACTAGATTCCTTCTTTTGGGTCCCTTTTTAATTTTGTAATTTTGATATAGCCCATATAGTTAAATATACTTTTACAGTTAGGTCTAAAAAGCTAAACTATACATCCAGAACCATTTCTGTATTTCTCCCGTTGTTTTATATCTATTAAATTGTGGTTTATTGACAGTCCCAACTGTTGCCCTAATGCAGTGTTTCTCAACCTTGACAATTTTAAGGCATGTGGACTTCAACTCCCAGAATTCCACAGCCAGCATTGCTGGCTGTGGAATTCTGGGAGTTGAAGTCCACATGCCTTAAAATTGTCTTGGTTGAGAAACACTGCCCTAATGCAACTCTTTTGTACCAACTACAGTCTATTTTTTACTAGACTCCTTGTTTCTCAGATGATGGCCACAACTCTATTGAGTCTTAGATAGTGATTACTTTTTATTCATTTTGCAGAGGATTGGATATTTAGCTGCCTCTCAGTGCTTTCATGAAGGGACAGATGTTATAATGCTGACAACTAACCAGATCCGAAAGGTAAATTCCCCCAAAGAGGCTTGCATCACCTGCATTACACTTATGCCGGGCTGTACTCATCAAAACACTTTAAAAGTAGACATAATAAAGTCAGAGCTTTATTTGACTCTATTTTCAATGTGATAGGGTTGAAAGCAATTCCAAGTTCTTTCAAAAAAGACTCTTTGTTTGTCTGCACCAAGGCAATGACAGTAGAAATGAGGAACACTATAGTTGAAAAGCCCAATCTTCATTGCCTCTAACTTCTTCTCAAAAAGCAGAGCACCAAGAAGGGTCTCCAGAGATGACATCAGTAAGCAAACAGGTTCATCTGAGTGAACAGTCATTAAGAAGAGTTTCTGGGTATTTAAAATGATGAACAGTTAAGGGAACTAAGAATGTCTAGCCTAACAAAGAGAAGCCTTAGGGGTGACATAATAGGTGTCTTCCGGGACATGAGGGGTTCCACAAAGGGGGGGTTGACTCCCAAACACCTGAGAGTAGGACAAGAAGCAGTGGGTGGAATTTCATCAAAGAAAAATCCAGCCTGGAACTAAGGAAAAGTTTCTTAATAGTGAGAATAATCAGTGAAACATCACTGAAGACTTTCAAGAAAAGATTGAACAACTATTTGTCCCAGATGGTATAAAGTCTCCTGCCTTGGGCAGGTGGTTGGACTAGAACAGTGGTTCTCAACCTGTGGGTCGGGACCCCATTTGGGGTCGATCGACCATTTCATGGGGGTCGCCAACCAAGGCTGTCCGCCATTTTTTTTGTCCATTTTCCCCCTTTTCCGGCGGGTGCCTTACCTCCCTTGGGCTGGGCCAGCTGGTGGTCGGCCTGCTCCGTCTCTGCCGCTTGCCAGCTATGCCTCAGCCGGCGCAGGGGGCGGAACCACGCATGCGCGGCACTCCCGGGCAGGGAAAGTCCTCGACTTACGACCGGTTCGGTAGTCCTCGACTTACGACCGGTTTAGTCCTCGACTTATGACCGGTTTAGTCCTCGACTTACGACCGGTTGGGGTCGCGGCATTAAAAAGGTTGAGAACCACTGGACTAGAAGCTTCCAAAATTCCTTCCACTCTGATGATTTTATTCCACTCTATTCTGTTCTTATTCTAATAATTCTAATAATTTTAATTCTAATAATTCTAATTATTTCTATTCTGTTCTAAAAGCCAAAAAGAGTTTTTATAGATGATACATTATGTTTTGGAGAGTGGACCCTTTAGTAATTGACATTTTCAAAAGTCTATGTGATCGACAGCGAATTTTGAATGTGAATATTAAATCTGTAGCATACTTCCAAAAATTTAAAAAAATCTATTTTTTTTTCTAATTTCCCCTCTCTTTCTCCCACCTTTCTACCTTACTGTTCTAGGACTTGAGTAGCCCCAATCAGTATGATACTGGAGTTGCGCTAACGGGTTTGTCCTGTTTTGTGACTCCCGACCTTGCTAGAGATTTGGCAAACGACATCATGACTCTGGTGAGTAGCTGGAGAGTGGCGGTCCACACTACCTGCATTGTTCACTCTGAGCAAAGCTCTTTGAAGTTCCAAATGAGGAAGAAATATTTTCAAAGCAAGTGAATATCAAGAGCAGCTGACTATAGGAGCAGTGGAGAGGCATTTTGTGGTTCAGTCACATGCAGTGAAGTGTTGCAGAAAACAATGGTTGCATACATAAAATAAAAATGTTTTTTTTAAAGATGCCCTAAATTGAATTTGACTCCTAGTGACTATAACAACAGGTTTGTAGAGTTTCTTGGCAACAGTATAGGCATTATTGCTATTCCTTTGGGGAATTTTTTAGTCTTTCCAGTACAGACCGTAGCCCTAGGATTTTCTGTTTTTCTCCTGTCCAAGTATTAACCGGGTCCAAACCTATTGACTGACTGGGTAAGAAAATAGATTTCTAGTGCTTAATCCTCCCATTCTTTGATCATCTAAATTTTAAACCTGTAGAGCACAGGTTCCTAAACTTTATGCAGTCACATCTCCCTTTAGTGTACTCTTAATGTACACACCTCCTCTAAAAATCCAGCTATCAAAATGAACGCAAATTAACAATGAAAACAATACAATGGAACTTTTATTTTTAATAAAGACATAAAAACATTTTTAAAAAGGTCCTTCATACCTTTCTTGGCTTCTGTCTACATTTCCCCCCCAGGGAGGAACGCCCTACAATTTGGCAAACTCTGACGTAAATAAATACAATAAAGTCAAAAAATTGGGAAATTTTCAAGGTTTCATAGGATTAATTCAATTGCTAATGGGATTCCAGTCTAGTTTCACATGACACAAATTGATTTTTTTTTCAAGGCAACCAAACATTATTCAAATGTTATTTGAAGAATAATTAACATCCATTAATTTAACATACTTTTACTTAAATCTTATCTTTTTAGTTATAAACAGGAATTCCTAATGTATTATCTTTTTATTCAGATGTCTTTCTTAGGAGAAATATTACATTTGGATTCTTTAAAATTATCAGTGTATTTATATATATTTAGGGTAGCAAATTGTTAGTCCCTAAGCTAGAGCAAATTATCTGTTGTCACCAGTTCTTTTGACAGGTAGCATAGTGTTCTTTTCCTTTCATTCTGCCCCCCAAAGCAACCTTCAGGAGGCCTGTTTGCTAAAACCCATGGCCAGACACTTGTGCATGGTGCATGTAAAGTATATGTGCATTGAATTAGATTCCAAGGCTTAATATGCTGCAAATCTAATTAGGAAGCTGTTCCTCCCAGGCTGTGAAACCTCAAAGATTATTAAAAAGCTACGAAAATCCCCAGATTTTTAGATGTGATAAACTTCTCAATGCATCATGACCAACAATATGGCTTGAAATCACATTAAAATGGATGCCTTCCTTCTTGCCACAGCAAAGAAACTCCTCTGAACTTTAGTGCGAGGAGTGTTTTTTAAAGGATTAAATGAAGGAGTCTTGGGTTAATTGCTGCGAAAATATGTGTCAAAAGCTTTTTCTCTCTGCAGATGTCTCACACAAAGCCTTACATCAGGAAGAAGGCAGTGTTAATCATGTATAAAGTGTTTTTGAAATATCCCGAATCCCTTCGGCCTGCATTCCCCCGCCTGAAGGAAAAACTGGAAGACCCAGATCCTGGTTAGTGATCCAGAAGATTCTAAGCTGTTTGGGACTCTTGACCTGGGAAGAAGGTGTACATTTAAATAAATCTGGATAAGGTCTTTTGCAGTAGTAGAGATGTTACTTGTATACCAGATTCCATATTTTTCTACTGGGGATGCTATAACATTCTAGGACCAAAATAGCTTTGTGCGCCATTTATTTACGCATATGCACAGGGTGATTGTGAAGTGCAAAAGAAAATGTAGGACAGATTAACTCATCAAGCTCTCAAAGCTTTATCTTGCTTCCCCAAAATAGTTTATTAGGACCATTGCTGCAGCTAAATTAAATATGCCGATTAGCACAGCTGTTACATACCACAGCAGCTTTGTACCTTATGTCCCCATTTCCCTCATTAAACCTCTGTGAAATAACGAAATACGCCTTGACAGGTAGAAAATTTTGATGTGGGGATATGCATAAGTGTTTTTTTAATTAAATTTAGAACGTGAGAAGACAATAGATATGTTTTCTCTCAGATCAGTATTTGCTGCTCTTTTAAAACAGTCTTATTGAACTGGGGAGGGGAATGTTCTATTTTCTACGCCAAGGACCCCTAATGTTCTACTTTTCTGCCTTCTAGTTTAATACTATCCACCCCATGCTTTTTTTCTAGGAAGAATCTCAGGGTTACCAACTCCTGGTTACCATCTTCCCCATTTTACACTCTGTCCTTATAGTGTGAGGGCTAGCTCACCTTTCCCCCAACTTAGTGCTCTCAAGCTTTAGGGCAGTGGTTCTCAACCTTTTTAATGCCGCGACCCCCAACCGGTCGTAAGTCGAGGACTAAACCGGTCGTAAGTCGAGGACTAAACCAGTCGTAAGTCGAGGACTTTCCCTGCCCGGGAGCGCCACGCATGCGTGGTTCCGCCCCCTGCGCCGGCCGAGGCGTAGCTGGCAAGTGGCAGAGACGGAGCAGGCCGACCGCCAGCTGGCCCAGCTCAAGGGAGGTAAGGCACCCGCCGGAAAAGGGGAAAAAAATGGCGGACAGCCTTGCTTGGCGACCCCCGTGAAATGGTCGATCGACCCCAAATGGGGTCGCGACCCATAGGTTGAGAACCGCTGCTTTAGGGCATGCTGGCTGTTATAGTTCAGTGCTTCTGGAAGACCAAGTTATAGGAAGGTTGGGATATACAGTTGTATCTAAATGCAGGACTTTGGCATGGATTCCACTGGTAGCCATGAAGCTCTTATTGACTGTGAGCAAGCTACTCAGCCTTCACATTTCTATTAGGATAAAGAACTTAAATGCTTTGCCAGTTTAAACAGTAACATAGTGGAAATGAGATGGCTTTCAAGTCTGAACTATATCTTGTGAGCATGTCTGTATTTCAAAATACTGTACAGTTAGAAATCTTCTTTCATGTGTCATTGGAACATTCTTGTGGGGCCAGAATCGGATAGACTTCTTTCATCTCCAAATACTTCTAAGTTGTTTTACATGGATCATCTTGCACATTAATTAAGAAAAAAGTGTTGCCGTAATTGTTGTGCATGAGCCCCACAGCCCCTCTTACTGAGATATTCCACCCTCTTTTTTTCCTCCAGGTGTCCAATCAGCTGCTGTGAATGTTATATGTGAGCTAGCCAGACGCAATCCAAAGAATTATCTTTCTCTTGCTCCACTCTTTTTTAAGCTGATGACATCATCCACCAACAACTGGGTCCTTATTAAAATTATAAAATTGGCAAGTATTAGCAGGTCCTGGTAGCTGGTGTCTCTTATCAGTATATGTGGTGTGAAAAACACAATCCTGTCACTTCAGAGGTGTAGCAGCTGATACAGACAGATGGGTGGGGGGGGAAGCAGCAGACTGTAAAACTGACTTTGGAGGGGAATTGTTGATTTTTAGGCAAGAACTAGTAGAAATCTGATAGGTCGGTAGCAATGTGAGATTGCAAAGCAAGAATGAGCAGAAAAGATTCTGCTTGCTGGTGATTCCATTATTGGTTGTTTTTAATTTCTCATCTTTATTTCCAAAAGCATCATTGTTACAAAAAAAACAAAATTATGAATTAAACAGATTGAGTTTGCATAGTCAGTAATACATGGACTTGAGTCTGTTGATCATATACAGGTAGTCCTCGACTTATGACCATAATGGAGCTTACCCATCATGATTAGTCTTGATGGTCGTAGAAGGGGTTGGTCATGACATTTTCTGTGACAATCCAAGATTGCTGTGGCTGCATATGCTAGGGCAGTGGTGGCGAACCTATGGCACGCGTGCCAGAGGCAGCACTCGGAGCCCTCTCTGTGGGCATGCACGCACGCCGTCGCCCCAGCCCCGCCTCCCCCCCACGGCCCCCTCAACAGCAGCCTTTCTGGAGGAAAGTCGCCCCCGGGCACGGCCCACACAGAGCAGCACAGCCAAGGACATAGCCGGGCAGCAGGAACAAGACTCCGCCCTCGCGCCCCATAGCATGCAGATGATGCTGCAGGATGTGGGCGGAGGGCGTGGCTGCCATGGCGCTGCAGGACTGCCTGGGCGATATGCTGCGGTGGGCCATGGAGGCGGTGCATGGCCCTGCGGGCAAGGGGCGGGTGGGGGCAGACCAGGCAGGGCAGGAGGCAGAGCGGGGGTGGGGGACAGTTTTGGGGCACTCAGTCTCTAAAAGGTTCGCCATCACTATGTTAGGGCTTTATGCCCCCAAGACAAATATTTTTGCCTTTGAGATGTAGCCTTTTCACTGTATTTTTTTCTCATAGTCTTAAATCTCCTTTAAGCTTCTGCTGCTCTTCTAGTTGCTGATAAAGGAGGAAAAGGAAATCTAGCTTTCGTTTTGTAGTTTTATGAATTTCAGTAAATGCCCTAAAAATTGGTTTGCTATAAACTCCGATAAGTAATAGCTCTCTCCCTTAAAAGACTCCTTGCTACGATATCTTTATAAAAGTTCGTCGCTTTACTAGATTGTAGGTGGCATGCAGTAATAGAAATATAAAAAATAATAAATGTTTTGGTGTGACTATCATGGATGGAGGACTTTTTAGACAGTTGTTGTTAAATATCTGTGCTGCTTTACAAAGCTTTAGTAAGACCACACCTGGAATACTGCATTCTGTTCTGGTCACCACAATATAAAAAAGATATTGAGACTCTGGAAAGAGTGCAGAGAAGAGCAACAAAAAATATTAGGGAGCTGGAGACTAGAACATACAAAGAACAGTTACAGGAATTGGGTATGTCTAGTCTAATGAAAAGAAGGACTAGGGGGTGACATGATAGCACTGTTCCAATATTTGAGGGGCTCCTACAAAGATAAGGGGGTCAAATTATTTTCCCAAGCACCAAAATACAAGACAAGAAACAATGGTTGGAAACTGACCAAGGAGAGAAGCAACCTAGAACTAAGGAGAAAAGAAATTTCCTAATGGTGAGAGCAATCAACCAATGGAATAGCTTGCCTCCAGAAGTTGTGGGTGCTCCATCACTGGAGGCTTTAAAAAAGAGACTGGGCAATCATTTGTCTGAATTATTATAGAGTGTCCTGCTCAAGCAGAGGATTGGACCACAAGATCTCTGAGGTCCCTTCCAGCTCTGTTATTCTATGTTCTATATGTTCTATATCTATATCTATGTGTGTCCCCTGGGAGAATGAAGTAGACAAGTTTTAAATGATAGATGTTGACCTTCATGCTTCCAGTGTGAATGTTCTGGAGTCATATCTTTGGCCATTATAGAATAGCAAAAATGAAGATGTCTGCAACTCTATACTCTCTGCAGTGTGTGTAAGGAAGGATAGGATTAAGAAGCCTGGGGTATCTAATTTCTAAAAACGGCTGAAGGAGGTGCAGATGATTAAGGCAAAAATACTTTTCTTTTTTAGAAAAAATGTTCTTTAACTTTAGAAAGCTGTAGTATAGATCAGGGGTGTCAAACTGCCGACCTGCAGGCCGGTTTCATCATACCGAAGCCGCGCCCACATGACGTGGCGAGTTTGACACCCGTGGTATAGATAATATTTTCCCTTTTGATCTCTATATTAGAATAGAATAGAGCTGGAAGGGACCTTGGAGGTTTTCAAGTCCAGCAGGAGAACCTATACCATTTCAGACAAGTGACTGTCCAGACTCTTCTTAAAAACCTCCAGAGATGGAGCACCCACGATTTCTGAAGACAAGCTGTTCCACTGGTTAATTGTCCTCACTGCTAGGAAGTTTCTCCTTAATTCCAGGCTGCTTCTCTCTTTGGTTATCTAATACAATGTAACAGGATACTAAACCCAAGACTAACATTCTCATAAAATTTGCTGTATAGTTTATAATAATGGCTTTGAAAGGGTGCTAGGCATTTGGGGGTGAATAATAAAACAATTATTTGTTTATTAATCATTAATAGCCAGATGGAACTTCTGTGTTTGAACATAAGTATCTCTCTGATTATCAGTTGCTATTGAGCCATTGTTGGATGGGTTTTTGCTTATATGTCCTTGTTGTGGGCTTCTCAGAGATATCTTTCTGACAATAATGGAAAGATAATGGATTGACTGGCCTTTCTTATAATCTAGCAGAATTCTGGAATCCTCCTTTATTTTTTGCAATCACTATTTAAGGTCAAAGCCTGGTTTTTAAATCCAAACTATTTTTGTTAGCCTGATAATTATCTCCCTGGTCTCCACAGAGTAGAGGTATGCTGATCAGATCAAGGATCTGTGTAATCCAGCCTTGCCTTTCTACACTATGCAACCAGATACCAGTGGGAAGCCAACAGACAAGAGATAACTATAATATAACTCTTCTCTTTCTGAGCTAATGCATAGAGAGGAATCCTGCTACTGTTGATGGAAATAATGTAATTATTGTGACAAGTAATACTGGATAGTTTCACCCATCCTGCTAAACCCTGATTGGTTGGTTTACATCATTCCTTGAAAGTTCCCACACATTATTTATGCTAAACAATTCATAGGCTTGCCTATCACCCTGAGCTAAAACCAAGCAAATCATTTTATGGTTAAGATTAGGCTGAGCACTGTGCCAATTCATTTGTCAACATGTCGACAGTTAGAATTCCCCTAATCCTGTAGTTTTCTGAAGCAGTTCAGTTCTTATCTATTGCTGTGTGTCTAATCACTTTTACAGAATTAGCAAACATGCTGAGGCAACTACCAAGTAATTTCCTTTTCCCCCCCATTAGTTTGGTGCTCTCACCCCTTTGGAACCCAGGCTAGGAAAGAAATTGATAGAGCCCCTGACCAATCTAATACACAGGTAAGTCAGCTAATTCTTCTAGATTTTTTAACTTGATGGTTGGGGGAGAGGGCTCTAATCAGCTCTGTATATTTTAATTTCAGTATTAAATAATTCAGTAAAACTATGTGTGCTTCTGGGTAAGGTTAGTCGTTGGTATCTGTGTATTGACATTGGTTTGGTTGACTTTTTCATTTGCCACCATTGTGTAATTTTTAAACATGATTCCCCCAGACAGCACCAAAAAAGAATATTGTTTTATCCCTTTGAAGGTAGTACAGGTAGTCTTCAATTTATGACTGTGAGCCTGGAATTCTGGTTGTACGTTGTGGCTGTTGTTAAGTGTGACTGTGTAATTTTACATCCTTTTTTGCAACAGTCGTTAAGTGAACTAGTGTTCCGCAATGGGCATTTTTTGCTGAAAACCAGAAGTAAATGCTGGAAATCAGCAAAAAAAGTGCTGAAGATTGTGATGATGTGACTGTGGGATACTGCAAATGATCGTAAATGTGAGCTGGGCCAAATGCCCAAAATGGGATCATGTAACTGCAACGGGGATGAATGCGGCCATCAGAACTACCTGTAGACTAGATGGAAGAAAGAAATGTAAATTTAATCCTGTTTTCTTTCACAAAGTCCAACTTTCTAAAGTGGATAGAATTCATGGCAACTTTATCAATATTTTAAAAAGTAGTCTGCTTCCAAGAAATGAAGCAAAATGGACAGTACATATACTCTTGACCAGAGGTCCCCCACCTGTGGGCCATGGCCCACTACCGGTCCATGGCCTATTCGCAACAGGGCTTTGTGAGTGGCTGGCTGATGTGCACAAGCATCGCAGGGGCTCAGGGCTCACTCATGTGAGCTTTGTGGGGGCTCGTGGCCCCACTCATCTAAAAAAGAGTGGGATCGGAGCTGTTTGGATCCCCGGGGTGGGGCGCGATTGGTGATCCAAAGAGCAGATGGTACAGCCAAGAAGGCCTGTTTCCGGGGGTCTCATCAAATGGTCTTAATAGATATGACTCAAAGCATCAAACTCTGTCAGATCTTACAAATGGGCAAACACAATAGAACAAAGATGAAGCCTCAAATAAGCTTTATACAGGTAGTCCTTGACTTACAACACTTCATTTAGTGACCTTTGAGAGTTACAACGGCACTGAAAAAAGTGGCTTATGACCATTTTTTTATACTTACAGCCTTTGTTGCATCCCATGATCATGTGATCAAAATTCAGATGCTTGGCAGTTGGTTCATACTTATGACCGTTGCTGTGTCCCAAGGTCATGTGATCCCCTTTTGCAACCTTTTGACAAGCAAAATCAATGGGGAAGCCAGATTCCCCTTAGCAACTACGTTACTAACTTATCAACTGGAGTAATTCACTTAACAACTGTGGCAAGAAAAGTCATAAAATGGGGCAAAACTCACTTAACAAATGTCTCAACAACAGAAATTTGGGGCTCAATTGTGGTTGTAAGTTGAGGACTACCTGTAGTCGACAACTAGCACCTTGAATTGCGCCCTGAGAGCCTATTGATAACCAGTGCAACGTGTGTAGTGTAGATTAATATCATGGCATGCCCTTGACTGCTGGTGGAGTCACATTTTGAAGTAGCTGAAGCTTCTGAGTGGTTTTCAAGGGCAGCTCACGTAGATTTAGACAAGAGATGACTAAATCATGGATGACTGTGAATAAGATTCTCTGATGCAATAATGAGTATATTTGAGTACACAGAGTGGATTTGTTTAAATTTGTTGATTGGGGTTTTAAGAATTTAGTTGCAAGTGAAAAATGTAGCCTACCTTTTGTTTTTTAAAATGCATATTTTATTTGAAACCAGGTTGTTAAAAAGTGCAAAACTCAAAGGCCTTTTTTTCTTTCAATGTTTTACACACCTTAGTTTTAAAATGTAGAAACAATACATACAGTCATTTTTCTGATCTTTTTCTGGGGCTAACTGTAGTAACTTAAAGTGTTTTTTTTCTTCAGCACTTCGGCCATGTCACTCCTTTACGAGTGTGTGAACACAGTAATAGCAGGTAAGGGAAATTTCATTGAGGGACATTACATTTTCTAAATAATAAAAAAAGAAAAGCAGATACTTTTATAAATATCCCTTTGAGAGTTAACTTTTTCCAGAAAAGTAGACTGGAAATTAAACATGTGTATCCTTAACTCTTTCACAGTGTTAATCTCTCTTTCCTCGGGAATGCCCAACCACAGTGCAAGCATCCAGGTAACAGGCTTTCACTTTTGCTGTCTGTTTCTTATTTTGTGTTGGCTTTGATGTTGTGTCTTAATTATACACCTAGGGTGGATGCTTATTCTAGAGAGAACATGTTACAATCTGTGCAGGTGGCTAGATGGTTCCTGTTTTACATTTGAGTATCCCCAAAACACACCTAAGAATTCAGGAGCAGATGGTCCAGCTTAGCAATGTAATTTCAGCAATATGTGGGACATAGGGATGTCATCACAATTCCCATGTATACAGTGACAACATACTCTTGAGGGATCGTTAGGAAGATTCTCCATGTATATGGCTGCTGTCTAATTGTAAACAAAGTCAGTAGGAGCCGAAAAAGGAACGCTGTCCCATGTCAAGGTTAGACATATGTTCACAGCAGAATAGGCCATTAAAAATATTGACTACGATAGTTGAATAAAATTTTATATTCAGTGTATACCAGCAGTATCCCAAGTACACGTTTGCTTGGGTCAAGGAGGGAGGCAGGAAGGCATGCAGATGCTTTTATGCTTCACTGATGGTTCTCAGGATTTTCTACTGTATGGAATTCAGAGGTTATAGCACATAATCGTTTGGAGGTGATCATACATACGTCATTGGATCATTCTGGCAACTGGCTGTTCAATGATAGCATTACTTTGTTTATTATTAGAGCTAATACCAGTTTGCCAAGGCAGACTCAGAACCCAATCCATGTGTGCCGTAAACTAATTTCACATGTCCCTTAGCTTAATTTTAAATCCAGCCCATCCAGTAAGAACTGACAAGAGAGCCTGTCCCATCATTTAAACAATGTCATCTGACAAAACCAAGGAGACTACCCTTTTCTGACACTGTGCCTGCCCTGTGAAACAGACTCCTCCTCCCCCCCCTCCCCTTGATGTGTCTGCTTTTCATAAAACTCTTAAGGCCTGACTCGTCTCCCAGGTTGTTATATCCATCTTGATTTTTTGCATTAGTATAGACCAGGGGTAGTCAACCTTGGCTCTTTTATGACTCGTGGACTTCAACTCCCAGAATTCCTGAGCCAGCATGGCTCAGCTTGGAAACCTCTCCCTTTCCCCTCAGCATGGCTGGCTCAGGAATTCTGGGAGTTGAAGTCCACGAGTCATAAAAGAGCCAAGGTTGCTTACCCCTGCTATAGACTGTATGTGTTGCCTTGTATGAAATTTGTCTTATTACTGTTTTACAATGGCTTTAATTTTAACATTAAGCTTTGGTTTTTATTTGTATGAAACCCGTAGTCCTATTTGATTGAGATGGATGGATGGATGGATGGATGGACAGATATTAAAAAAAATAACCTCCCCTGCATTAGATCCATTCAGATCATTGACAGGAAATATATTTCTTTTCTGTGCTGCTTTAGAGGACGTGCATTAGAAGGAAAATGAAAGTGACTGAGACTAAGTGGTGGAAAGAATGCTGAGGGTGTTAGAGAGAATGAAAGGCTGTTCCATCCACTTTTATTATTACTTATTTTTATTATTTTAGATTTTTTTTATCCCGCCTTTATTGGTTTTTTTATTATTATTATTAAAAGTTTTATAGAAATTACAATATGAATCCCCATACCCACCCCAAAACCCCTCTCTCCCCCTCCCCCACTTCCCAGAGCTGAACACAGGGTTACAAATATAATAATCTATCTAACATTAACCAACTATTTAAATAACCAAATCCATAATGCACTTTAACTCCCCTTTAACATAAATTTGAACAAATTAAAATTAAACACAATAATAAATCTATTCATAGCCTAATTATTAAGCAATACAATACTAATATTTAAAATAATAATAATATCATATAATTAAAACTAACAAAAAAATCCATTAAAATAAACTATTAATAATAATAATACTCTAAAATTTTACTCATAACCCAAATGAAACTTTTTAGTCCCATATTTATTCTGAATATAATCTATCCATCTTCTCCAGACCGAAATGTATCTTTCTTGTGATTGATCCTTCAAATAAGCAGAAATTTTGGCCATTTCTGCTAAATTTGACACTTTAAGCGTCCATTCTTCTATAGTAAGCAAGCAGTCTTTCTTCCAAAATTGCGCTACCAATAATCTTGCAGCTGTTCCGCCTTTATTGTTTTTATAAACAACTCAAGGCAATGAACATATCTAAACTCCTTTCTCCTCCTATTTCCCCCCCCACAACAACAACTCTGTGACGTGTGTTGGGCTGAAAGAGGGACTGACCCAAAGTCACCCAGTTGGCTTTCATGCTTAAGGTGGACTAAAACTTGCAATCTCCTGGTTTCTAGCCTGATGCCTTAATCATTAGACCAAACTGATTCCTATTATTATGGCCATATTGACTTCTTTCTGTAGCCCTATCGTGCAGCTCCCCTAAGGAAACTGAGCCCTCAGTAGAACTGGGCTGCCTACCCATGTTGAGATTAGAGCAGGTTCCCCCTGTGTCCTTACTGCTCTTATAGAATGGTCTTCCACTATTAGCAAAATATTACTGATGTTTATTAAAGAATAGAAATGTTTAAGAAATAGAGGGAGGAAAATCCTTGGTTTTGCAGAAGAGGTTAATAATATATGTTGTCTCTGCAGCTCTGTGTGCAGAAGCTGAGGATACTGATAGAAGACTCAGACCAAAACTGTAAGTATGCTGCCATCTAGGAAGGTAGTAGTAATTGAGGTCAAGAAACTGTACTGCATTGTATTCCAAAATTGAAATAGCTAAAATGAGGGGGGGAAAGCACATTCATTTTGCTTCTGGTGATGCTCTTTCTTTCCCACTTGTGAGTTTAGAGAAAGCCTATGGTAAAGTAAATAGGCTTAAGTTATAGAATGTTTTGCTGAATGTAATAAATACAGTATATAATTATAGTAAAATATATATAATACAGTGATTAGTGAACGGTTCAGCATTGAACAAGGAGTAAGTCACAGATGTGTAATGTTCCCTTGGTTGCTCAGTTTATTGAATGTTTTATTGATGTTAATGATGTATTAATTTGGGATATATATATGTACACCAGTATGTAGATGATATGTGTTTGCTGTCTGAGAACTTAAGTCAGACATGTCAAACACAAGGCCCGTGGGCCGGATGCGGCCCGCGAAGTGGTTTCATGTGGCCCGCGAAGCCATCCTGGAAACAGTGAGGGAACGGCCCCCACTGCCTTGGCCCTGGCCCAGGCTGGCCAGGAGCCAATGTACAATTTTGTGGTGGCCATCTATGCTGAAATGCATTCAGTCTTAGCTCCACAAGGCTGTCTGGAAACAGCGAGGAACCAGCCCCTGCCGTGTTGGCCCCGCCCCCTGGGTGCATGCTGGGGAGGTGTCACCCTTTGTGAGGAATGAAGAAATGCACCATCACCTGGAAGTGGCCAGCAAATGGCCCTCGCCTACTTCACATATCCGGCTTGATGGGCTCCGAGGGAGGGGTTTCGGCAGGCAGCGGGGCACTCTCCTCGCAGCGCCGAGAGGCTGAGCTGGGCAACGCAAATCCAAAAAGAAGCGCGACACCGCCCAGCCTCCAGCCTGCCCGGTTTCAACAGGCAGTGGGGCGCTCTCTTCACAGCGCCGAGAGGCTGAGCCGGGCGGCACAATTCCAAAAAGAAGCATGAGGCCGCCCAGCTCCCAGCCTGCCCGGTTTCGGCAGGCAGCGGGGCGCTCTCCTCATAGCACCAAGAGCTGAGCTGGGTGGCGTGAATCTGATGAGAAGTGCAAATGCTGCCTTGGGGAAGTGGGGTTGGGCTTGGTGCCATGGGTGCTCGAGGGCCAGGTTGGGTGTTTGACCTCTGCTGCCCAGGGCTCCGGGCAGCCCGCACTACCATCCAGCCCCCCCCCCACATGGCCTGAGGGGAACAGTGAGGCTCCTCCAGTGGACCATGCCTTGGCACTTCCCTGGTCCCACCCCCTTCTGCCAGACACCCTCAGATCTGTCCCACTCCTGCCCAGGCCCCCACAGGCACTCTTGACACGAACAATGTAGAGCTGGCCACACCCACCCAGTAGGCCACACCCACTCTATCCACACCCACCCAGTAGGCTGCACCCACCCTGGCCACACCCACTCAGCCCTCGGAGGGAAACCGCAATGCTGATGCGGCCCTCAATGAAATTGAGTTTGACACCCCTGACTTAAGTGAAATTCAATGAATGTTAGATTGCTGGTATAATGCAACCAGGAGCATGGATCTAAAAAAGAATGTAACAGAAGCCAAAATTGTTAGGTTTGACAGGGAACATGAAGTAACTGCTGCACATAAACCTAGAGCACATGAATTTGTATAGCAGAAATTTTGCCACAGATGGGAAAATGGATGGGGAATTTTGAAATGTATATGCTTTAGAAAATTGTGGATAATATGTAAGAATGCAATTTATCAAAAGATGCCAAAATAGCGTAAGGCTGTGCTTTTGTCCACAATTGTTAAATGAAAGTAAAAGTTGGGTGTGTTATTCCCCCAAAGAAGTAAGGTGATAGGTAAGTATTTATATATAAGAAAGGAGATGAAAAAGAATGTTTTATCAAAAGAAAAGGAAGGGGAAATGTTGATTTAAGAATGACAAAACAAATGTGCCCTTCCTTTGGCACTCAGAAAGATTATAAAACCGCTTCTAGTAGCCTTCCCCAAGCTGGCACTTTTTAAATGTGTTACCTTTAGCAGACACTATGATTGGGAATTCAAAGAATTCTGTGATCTAGAGGATTTCAGATTTGAGAAAACTGCACAATGGGGACTTTCTTTTTCTTTGTTGTTACCATTGATAAATGCAAAATGGTGCTCTTTTAATATCATTGGTGATCTTGGTAAGATGATGAGGATCATGATGATGAAGAAGAATCAGTTGCATGTGCCTTCCTAGTCCTGGCATCTCTGAGTAGTATTAGCAAGCACTCCTGTCTGAAAACAGTGGAGAGCCTCGGAGGCAAGTCGAAATAGAAAATACAGAAGTGATCAGAGCAATAAGACCAATGTAAGATAAATGCATATGTTCCTTCTGCTGATGTAGTAAATGCACTAGATCCAACAGACATGGGTAAAGTTAACCCTCTATATGAGAATAAAACTTCAGACCACTCCTGGAATTTGATCCATTTATCACCATGTGTGTATGTTGTTCTTGTAGAAATGGAGAGAGCCGTTACAAGGAGTTTTTTTGAATTGTGTTTTCTTTTGTGTGTGTATGTGTTATTTCTTTACACCAGTGAAGTATTTGGGATTGCTGGCAATGTCCAAAATCTTGAAAACACATCCTAAATCGGTACAGTCTCACAAGGATCTCATTCTCCAGTGCTTGGATGATAAGGATGAGTCCATCCGCCTCCGAGCTTTGGATCTTCTGTATGGAATGGTAGGTTTTGTACTTACTGTGCATCCTGGCTAATTTGTTTCTCGAAATAGTAAACTGTCTTCCTATATCAGTGGTGGCGAACTTGTGGCACACGTCCGAGAGGCAGCACTCGGAGCCCTCTCTGTGGGCACACGTGCTGTTGCCCCAGCCCCGCCTTCCCCCACAGCCCCCTCCTCACCAGCAGCCCCCCTGGAGGAAAGTTGCCCCCGAGCATGGCCCACACAGAGCAGCGCAACCAAGGACATGGCAGCCAGGCAGTGTAGACAAGACTCTGCCCTCACGCCCCATTGCGCACAGTTGATGCTGCGGGGCGCGGGCAGAGGGCGTGGCCACCATGGTGCTGCTGGGCTGCCTGGGCAATCTGCGGTGGGCCCTGGAGGTGGTGAGTGGCCCTGAGGGCAGGCGGGGTGGGGGCGGGGCAGGGGGTGGAGCAGGGGCAGGGCCAGTTTTTGGGCACTCGGTCTCTAAAAGGTTCGCCATCACTGTCCTATATACTAGAGTGGCTAATATGGTCGTGCTAATAATGGGATGGAAAAAATGAATCTAAGATAGCTTATTAATTTGTTTAAGTAGTTTTATCCCTAACCACTTTCAAGGCAGCAAAGGAACTGGCAAGTCAAAAGTTTCCAGAATGAAGTATCTGGTGTAGCTCATGGGTTTTCTGCCAAGCTTCATCAAATAGGCATCTTCCCATGTCCTATATCGAGACCAACATTTGCTAACTAGTGCCTGAGTTTCTGTTTGTTTGGGTCCTTGCTACAGGTGTCCAAGAAGAATTTGATGGAAATTGTAAAGAAGCTGATGATCCATGTGGACAAAGCTGAAGGGACAACTTACAGGGATGAGCTGCTAACCAAAATCATTGATATATGTAGCCAGTCCAATTACCAGTACATCACAAACTTTGAATGGTCAGTATTACCACATACTTAGGTCCTGCTTTATAGCCTCAGGAGGATTTCAGAAGGTTATACAATGTTTTCCTCCAAAATAAAGTTTAAATCTTGCATAATAGAGGTAATTCTCACTTAATGTCCATTTGTTCAGCACTCTTCAAAGTTACGGCGGTGCTGAACAAAGGGACTCGCAACCGTCTTTGAAATTCCAGCCATTGCAGCACCCCCATGGACACATGGACAAAATTCCCATAAAGGAGGTGTGGTGCGGAGGGCTCTTGAACCAAAGAATAGCTAATAAACCACATACTATATATCCTATTGCTTCTTCTCCGTTTCTCTTTTATGGATAGCATGTCTTCCCCAAATATGGCCCCCATCCTTAAATCTGTAGCTAACTGCTTTTGAGCCATTGTGATAAAGGCAAGGCAGAATAAACAGAGAAAACAGAAGCTGCCAATCACCATATCATGATTTGGGGAGGGGGAACTAGGCTGGGAACTAGAGTTTGAAAACCAAAAGCAAGCAGAGGAAGAAATTAACAAGCGGTAAGTACTTGAGTGTGTAAAAGCTGTAAGGATAATAGAGATATTAACATTGGAATTGTTGAAAGTTTCAGTATATTATGAAGGTTGTGCATGAAATTTGCCGATAAGCCTCCGGTTTATAATAATAGTCTCCCCTTGGTTTCTCTGCTTGCACATTGGTACCTCTTCTTATTTGCTTCAGGTACATCAGCATCTTAGTGGAGCTGACACGGCTGGAAGGTACAAGGCATGGCCACCTCATTGCCTCCCAGATGTTAGACGTGGCAATCCGAGTGAAGGCCATCCGCAGGTTTGCTGTGTCCCAGATGGCCATGCTTCTAGACAATGCTCACTTGCTAGCCAGCAACACGCAGAGGAACGGAATCTGTGAGGTGCTGTACGCTGCAGCTTGGATATGCGGAGAATTCTCAGAGTAAGTGCTCAGGAATCTAGTTGTCTGAAAAGGAAGGGGTTTTCAAGAGGCCAGGTTCTCGCTTCTCCTTGATGCCTGAAGCGTTTCTTGTGACTCCCCTTTTCCTGTCCTGAACAAGAGGGAAAGAAACTCCCTAAGCTTTCCTCTTTACTTCAGACACCTGGAAGAACCCCAGCAGACCCTGGAAGCCATGCTGCGGCCTAAAGTGACCACGCTTCCAGGCCACATCCAAGCAGTTTATGTCCAAAACATGGTGAAGCTTTATGCCTCACTTCTGCAGCAGAAAGAACAGGCTGGTGAGAAGGAAGTGGCCCAGGAGGCAACCCAGATGATGATTGACCGTCTGCCACAGTTTGTGCAGAGCGCGGATCTTGAAGTCCAGGAGAGAGTAAGAAAAATCAGGCTCTTTTTTTTATTATTTTTTGCCAAATTGGGTTTTTAGCTTTGCATTTTGCTGAGTTTGGAATGAAATAAAATCCCCTTCCCTTCCCTTCCCTTCCTTTATCTTTAGGCTTCCTGCATCCTCCAGCTCATGAAGTACATCCAGAAGCTTCAGGTCAAAGAGGTCCCTGTGGCTGAAGAGGTGACTGCCTTATTTGCCGGGGAGCTTAACCCAGTAGCACCTAAAGCTCAGAAGAAAGTTCCAGTCCCAGAAGGGTAAGATGCTCTGCATTTTTTCCAGTAGCCTCCCAACTCCGTAGCATAAGTAGCCTAGACCAGGGCTTTTCAACCTTTTCACCCATTGTACCACTTTTAAGATACGGCAACATCCGAGTACCATCAGTCGCCTAGCAAGGTGTCAAAAACTTGATGACTCCCCCCCAAAAAAGGAAAAAAGTGATAAAGTACAGGTAGTCCTCAACTTACAACAGTTTGCTTAGTGACTGTTCGAAGTTACAGTAGCACTGAAAAAAGTGCCCCCCAAGCCACAGCCAAGCAACACACCTGCTGACCCGCCTGGCCGCACTCTTCCTCCTGTCCGAGGTTTTCATTGTTGTGAGCATTTCTGTTGAGGATTGGCAGCGAGAGTGGGGTGGGGGGTGTTTGGTTTTTATTCCCCCCGTCTGCTGGGTGGTTGCAGCAGGTTTTGGTCACTTCACATGACCCTGGGACACTGTGACCGTCATAAATATGAATCAGTTGCCAAGCATCTGAATGTAAATCACAAGACCCTGGAGAGGCTGCAACATTCCAGTTGATTGGCGCTTCTTCTGGGCTCAGCAGAAGCACCAGGATCAGCACCGAGCTCCAGCTGGAGCCTGGCACTGATCCTGGCGCGTCCGCTGAGCCCTGACAGCCCTGCAGCTCCAGCCATCTCTCGCTCAGGCTTGTGCGGTGTTGCCACGGGTTCAGCTCATTCCCCTCCCCTGCTACCATTTTTCTAGGATGTTCGCGTACCACCTGCCAGGTGCCAATGTACCACAGGTGGTACCCGTACCACTGGTTGAAAAGCCCTGGCCTAGACCCATCTCATAGCCATAGAGCTTACAAGAACCAGCAGATGATGTTTATGTTTAGGTGGGGTGGGGTGCTTGGCAACCTCTGTTTTAACAACAGGACGAAGATTAAAAGATCGGCTGCCATCTTCTCACATAACCTGAAACAGAGATGCGTTCCTTTCATAGTTTGGATCTCGATTCTTGGATCAATGAGCCGCCTTCAGACAGTGACTCCGAAGATGAAAAACCAAGGACCATATTCCACGATGAAGAGCAAAGGCATTCAAAGCAACGGCAGCCTGAAGTGGATGAGGAGGAGCTGGCCAGGGTAAGCTTGGGGCAATTCCAGGGTGCATAAGATGCCTGGAGGCAAGCTTCAAATTCACTGGATTTTTTTTAAAAAAATCATTGTCCTGAAGGACCCCCAGGAACTTTGCGTGTGTGATTGCCAGGTTCTCACAACATTTCATTATTTTACAAGATTGTAATCATTTTTACTCATTTTTTTTAATGGGAAAATGCACTAAAATGGTTCTGGTCCTTTGATTGAGATACTGAAGCTGTTTGACTGATTGTATCTTGTTCAGTCTGTACCGGTTCTTTAACAATGCAAGTGACTTTTCTACCTTAATCTGGGATTCTTAGTCTTTATTCAAGTGGGAGACGAAACATTTGAATTTCCTTTGCTTTTTGTTTGTTTGCTTTTTTGTTTTAAAGCGTCGAGAAGTTAGGAAACAGGAGCAGGCAAACAATCCATTCTACATTAAAAGTTCTCCATCTCCACAAAAGGTAAGCAAGGCTTATTTGGGGGAATAAAATAGTGACTTAGTGATAGTGAAACATATGTAACAACTGATTTTTCTTTTTAAGTGTTTGCGTGCATCTGCCTGACTGCTGCGTCTGTACATTAGTGCTAAATTCCTCTTCTTTTGCTTTCTCCAGAGATACCAGGATAGCCCCGGTGTTGAGCACATACCTGTGGTTCAGATTGATCTCTCTGTTCCTTTAAAAGTTCCTGGTAAGAGAATTTTATGGCGGATTTCAGCATCATTTGCTCAGTATCTTGTCTACATTCATTGGTCAGACTTGAAGACCATTGTTTATATAATCATCACTCAAAAGTAGGGAGATGTTAGGAAGCTTGGAGAAACTTCAAGGTTTTCAGAAGTTTTTTTAAAAAAATCTGGTACAGGAATCTGAAAATCAGGTCATGAGGACTGAGCATAGTTAATAGAGAATTCTGGCTGCTTAAGAGAAAGGCAGAAAAGTGGGGGCACAGTTTCCACTGTTTCTCTGTGAAAGTCAATTCCCAGCATTCTTGCCCTTTCCAGGCCTATTTATGTTTCTTGACACAAACGCACAGGTGTGTGTGTGATATATATACCTCAAGCGTATGACTTTCATTTAGGACGGAAACCATAATAAAATAAATAAATTTTAACCATTTTGCAGAAGGCCTGGAAAGACAGTGCTGCCTGTATTTCTGAAAGAAACACTTTCCCAAATGAGGGGCCACTACAAAAAAGGCCACCAACCTGGATGGGCAAAATAAATTTGGGCATAGTTGTGCCTGACATAACATGTATATCTCAACTCTAAAGTCTGGGCCACATAGAGTCTATTGCAGTAATCCAACGGTGTAATGTTCAAGGCATGAATTCCTGTGGTCAGGGCAATTCATGAACCTTCTGAATTTGGTCTATATTGGTTTTTTATCAAGAGTAATTTTTTAAAAAATGTACTTTGGTTAAAAAGCATTTAATGTCCTGTAGAATATAATACAATAAACTCAAATTCTTAAAAACAGAGTGCAACACAGAGATAAACAATTAAATTTAAAACAGCAGTTCGAGGACTGCAGTATGTAACTGGTTAGCTAAATCAATCAGTTTACATCCTGCTTTTCAATCAAAAACTTCCTAACCAGCTTTAAAAATAGTAGTCCTCGACTTGGTGACTATTTGAAGTTACGACCAACCAGAAAAGGGGAATTTACAGTCTGGATCCGAAATTCTAGTAATCGCCGATAATCCGCAGCTAAGTCACATTTATGGCTGTTTGCAGTATCTCACAGTCATGTGACCACATTTTACAATACTTTTGCTGAAAACCAGCAGTTCCGGTTTTCGGCAAAACTGCACCAATAGCAAACCATGGATTTGCTTAACGACCACAGTGTTCATTTAACAACTGTCACAAAAAGGTCATAAAATCGATCCAGTCATGTAACTGTTAAGACTTAAGACCGTAAAAGGCAGGATCCATTACAGTTGTAACTCAACTACTATCTGTACTGTGACAGTCTCCATGCAGCATTTTAAAATCTAAAACAGCGGTCCCCAACCTTTATGGCTTCGTGCCCTGGCAGGGGGGGGAAGAGGAACCGGCCCTCTCCTTGCACAAGTCCGGTTGCTTATGCGCATCAGACCGTTGCTTGCTCAAGTCAAGCTGTACACATGCGCCGGCCAGCCACTCGGACGGCCCAGTTCCACGGCCTGGTAGAGGGCTGTTGCCTGGGGTTGGGGGCCCCTGATCTAGAAGACATGGAGAAAAGGAGGAAGAGGGGGGAAAGAAAAATAAGCAAGTTTGGATACTTCCAGGTTATAATCTTTATCATGGCTCTATATAATGAAATATTTCAAATAACTTTATGAAATGACTGCTGGTATGTGACAGTTGAGAGATCTCAACTTTTTCTTAGTGTTATGTCAGTGTTTCCAAACCTGGGCCGCTTTAAGATGTGTGGACTTCAACTCCCAGAATTCCCCAGCCAGCAAAGCTGGCTGGGGAATTCTGGGAGTTGAAGTCCACACATCTTAAAGCGGCCCAGGTTGAGAAACACTGTCTTATTTAATTATAAAGATTGCAGGTGAAAATGATATGGTTAGATATTTTCCCTTCTCTCCTGCAGGATGATCAGTGGTGTATCTGCTCTTCATCTATTAGCAAAGTTTGTAGTTTGTTCAAAATTGGTCACTTTTTCTTGGAATTTAAACCAGGTTGCTTTTGACAGCACCTTAATCAAGTGAAAACCTTCCTTTCAAAAATGCCTTTAATTCAGTAGCCAGTCTTTATACAATCCCTTCTGGAGGCTACTTTTCTCTCTTCTGGTCTTGTCAGGTTTACCAGCATCTGACCAATATGTGAAGTTGGAAGAGGAGCGACGGCACCAACAGAAACTGGAGAAAGACAAGAAGAAAAAGAAGCAGAAGAAAGAAAAATGGGGCAAGAACCGTCGCCACAATTCCCTGCACACAGAGAGCGATGAGGATATTGCACCTGCCCAGCATGTGGATATTATCACAGAGGAGATGCCAGAAGTAAGTGCCGCAGGGCTTTAAGCCTTCCTTAAACCTCCATCCACCAGGCTAGAAACCAGGAGATTGAGAGAGCTAGTCCCATTTTAGGCATGAAAATAGGAGGAAATGTTATTATTGAAATGTTAATACTGATATTATTCTGTCAGCTTAAAGAGATTGATTAATTGATGGATTAGATACGTATAGGATAGATCAATATTTTATTTTAAATAGAGGATATTAGTGGAAGAAGAAATAAATAAGATTTATGATAAAATTAAGGAACTAGAACAGTGTTTCTCAACCTGGACAATTTTAAGGCATGTAGACTTCAACTCCCAGAATTGAAGTCCACATGCCTTAAAATTGTCCAGGTTGAGAAACACTGAACTAGAACATATTTGGAAGGGATACCTGAATTGATAATGTTTTTATTTAAAGTTAATTTGATTATGGTATTGTAAATTTATAAAGCTTTAAAACAGGTCCAGGTTGAATAAATTTAAGATAGAATTGGATTATTTTAAATATACTATGCTATTTGAGGGGAAAAGAGAGGGACTACTTGATGTATTGATTGAATTATGTATATATGTTTTGTTTTTGGATGTTTGATTATCCCAGCACCACGGTGTGTCCTGAGTACTTTGTCTTAAGAATTAAAAAACCAATAAAATTTGTTCCCCCCCAAAATAGGAGGAAAGGGTATTAGTTATATTCCTCGCCTTGAGTTATTTACAAAAACAATGAGGACTGATTATAAATAACTAAATGAAGGGCACTTTGGTTCACATTCCTGCTCCATTGTGTGACCCTTAAGCCAATTGCTAGGTCTGGGCCTAGCCCTGTGAATGGTGGGCAGGGCCTGGCTATAATAAAAGATGGAGCACAGGCTCAAGTAGATACAGTTGCTCATTCTCTCTTTCTAAATCCCCTTTTTTTTTTCCTTCTTTCTCTTAGTCTCCCCAGGGAAGAAATACCTGCCCCAGGTTGAGATTGACCACTGATAGAGAGATTTTGAATGAGGGCTAAAGTTATTCAAAATTCAGCTATCCTGTTCTTGATATATTTTACAAGGATGGCACAGCTTGTAGATGGATGTCTGTTTTTCAACGAAACAGGCTATTTTCCCGCCATTCATGTCTCCTTGCCACCAAAGATGGTACTCGGCAAGTCACGTACCAAAGAATGAAGCAAATGTGAACTTCAGCCAACAAGTGCTTTTTCCAGTGTTGCTTTCGTCGACAAAACTGCTTGATCAAAGGGGGGGGGGAATTATAGAAATGGGACTAATTGGTTTAGAACACCATAAACAGAATAAATCTAAAGCACACTTGAGGAACAGGAACATAAATACTGTCAAATTTTGCCATTGTTGCACACTCTCTAATTTTGGTCTCTCAGTCTTGTACTTTTTATATATCTTTATTGGTAGTTTGTGCGTATTTTTGTTCTGATGTAAATTTCCTAATGATTTAGTAGGCAGGGAGAGACAGTATCTCAGTTTTCCAGTGGTCATCTACATCTTTAAAATGAATAGTTTAGTAAAACTGCTACTAAATTACTCTAGGCCAGAGGTCCCCAACCGTTTGGGCACCATGGATCAATTACGTGGAGAGAGGTTTTTCTGCGGACCGGAGGGGATGTGGTTTTGTGTGCTGCCTGCATCCTGTGGATGGGGCTTTCCTTGTTTGTGTGGAATGGTTGCTGGCATGCCGTGGCCCGGTACTGGTCTTTGAACTGGGGGTTGGGGACCCCTGCTCTAGGTAACATAATAGAAGCATTTGTCTATAAATCAAACAGGGATCACACTATCTTTTCCTTTGAGAATGTATACCTTTTATGTAAACTCATTTTCTGCCTCTTATGCCTCTCTTTAGAACGCTCTTCCCAGTGATGAGGATGACAAGGATCCAAATGATCCCTACAAGGCCCTGGATATTGATTTAGATAAGTGAGTACAAATTTTAGCTCTTGCACAATCCTCTAAAATTCATGCCAAAATGTAGTCCTGACTGTGACAGAGAGCGGAATTTACTGAATGCTGAACATGGTGTACTCACTATGCTCTACATAAATTAAAGCAGACAAGCTAAAGATTTGGGCTTTGATTCCTAAACCCCTGGTTTTACAAATTTAAATTATCGAACGGCAGCTTGAATGTTATCTTGGTACATCTGAGATCTGAATATGAAGATGCATTTTAAAGGAATTCAAGAGTGGTAACGGCACAGTGGTTAGAATGCAGTATTGCAAGCTGACTCTGCCCACTGCCAGGAGTTTAATCCTGACCGGCTCAAAGTTAACTCAACCTTCTGTCCTTCCGAGGTCGGTAAAATGAAGGCCCAGATTGTTAGGGGCAATATGCTGACTTTGTAAATCGCTTAGAGAGGACTGTAAAGCATTGTAAGGTGGTATATAAGTCTAAGTGCCATTGCTGTTGCTATTAGGGCCTTCCAAAGGGAGGATTGTAGGCTTGGATCTTCCTTGTGCCATTAAAGAAGGAATGGAGAAACCTGCAGCTTTCCAGATGTTTCTAGATTGCATCTCTTCTGTCCCGAATCTTAACCAGGCTCATTAGTCTTGATGGGAATTGGGAGTTCAACTAACAGAGGGCAATTAGTTTCAGAATCTTAACTATACTAGTTACCTAAATTTCAAATGGAGGCAAAAATACGTTTGTTTTTCAACGCTGTTCCAGGAGGCATTGTTGGAATCTCGTAGAATTTCTCTATTTTGCCTTTGGATTATTTCCATTCCCAGAAGTTGTCATATCCTGTAGTCATGTTGTTTTTCTTTCTGTCTGTCTGTTTCTCGTACACAGTCTGATTTCAGGGAATTCTGGCAGGTAAGTTCCCTCTTTGACAGCGTGGAAGGCTAATTGCTTCTGTTCAACACTGTAAAACACAACATGGTAAATGTCAGCTGTTTATGCAGAAAAGTTTACACCAAATCTTTAAACTTACACTAAATCTCTACATTTATAGTCTGGAATAAAAATAGCCAGTGAACAACCACTGAATCCTATCGTCAATCTTATCTAAGCCAAAGAAATAGTGGCCCTGCCACTACATTTACACACGTTCCCAATCTTTGAGCAGAGATTTGAGAAACTGATATTTTGCGAGAAGTGTTGGGCTTTACAGTGTGAGCTGTTCCTTTTCCTCTCCTCCTCTTCCTCCTCTTCCCACTTCCTGTAAAACGAGATTTAAGATTAAAATTTTGTGCCAAGGAGGAACCTCCAATTGCTTCAAGATGAATACAACAAATTGCAGAATTGATAGGAAGATTAAATTATGCATTTCCAAGTGGGCGATACTTTTCTTTTCTCAATTGTTTTTCCACTTAATAAAGGCTGACAAACTTTTTCACAGAAGTTCTGTATTTGTCATGAACAGCAGAAATTCTGACCACGAGGAACCCAGGGATAGGGGGGGGGATGAATGAATTGTAATTCTGATCTGAAAAAGTTAAAAGTGAGCAAATCAAAAGTTTACTATATTTGCATTAGGGGACATTTCCAAGCTTTCAGAAGCTGTGTTCTTCTTTTTCAGACCACACAACTCTAGATTTAAAATGATCCGAATTTTTAAAATGTTGCACCTTTGCATCTGGGAAAATGCTACATGAAATTTTCTCAGTCTTCACTCTCTGGAATTTATTCCAGCGCCTAAAGAAATTGCTTTGCTTTTATGTCGGAAGAATTGTACGAATGAAATTCTAACCATTTTGTTCAATAAATGTCGTTTAATTTCATGCGATCCTCTTTAGATTGTGTTCAATTATATTTCACCATAGATGCAGTGGAACTAATTCACTTTGACATGCTGTGCTGACCCTGAACTGCTGTTGGAAGTTGGGATAGACATTTGGTGGGATTTCATTCAACATCTTGCCATCTTTTTTTTATTAAGGCCTTTAACAGATAGTGAGGCACTTCCTGTGCAGAGGCATCGAAACGCTGACGATCTTAAATCTCCTCAAGAAACGCAAGCTCCCCCGGTTGAAAAGAAAAGCAAGAAGCCCAAAAAGAAGGAAAAGAAACACAAAGAGAAAGAGAGGGAGAAAGAAAAAAGGAAAGAGCGAGAAAGAAAAACAGATGAAGACGACAAAAAGGTCCTTGCTTCTACCTACCATATTATTTACAATAGTAGAAGTCCAATGAAGATTCTCAGTAGGCATAGGTGCCCACAAGGAGCAGTGAAATGTAGCCTATTTCAAAGATTCTGACATAATGAAAACTTATATATAGTATTTATAATATGTATGCATGTATTTATTATAAATATTCATAATGCAAATAATAAGGATGCTCAGATATTTCCGAGCAGGCATGGTATATTTGCAAATATAACCAGAATTCTAGATCTGCACCCCCTGGAGGGGAGGGCCGAGGATTTTGCGCAGTATCTGCATGACAAAGTCGCTCGGATCCGGGAAGGCTTGGACTCTGACTGGTTGGCCCAGGGGGAGGAGACGGGAGCAGGTCTTGAGACGGTTGTATGGGAGGGGTTTGACTCTGTTGCTCCTGAAGACGTGGACAGGGTCTTGGGGAGGCTGAATGCAACCACNAAGATAATTCTTCTCCCCTGTCTCATAGCTGACAAAGTGAGAAAGAGCCTGTGGTCTAGAGGTTAATACATCTGCCTAACATGCAGACAGCCCAGGTTCGAATCTCAGAAGGGTATGTCTGGTTGAAAAGAACTAAAAAGTTCGAAATGGCTATTCCAGTTCTCCCTTAATTCTTTGTTAGCAATCCAAATTTTGAAATATATCTATATCTATATCTATATCTATCTATCTATCTGTCTATCTATATATATATATATATGTGTGTGTGTGTGTGTGTGTGTGTGTGTGTATCTCTATCTATCTATATATGATTATTGAAAATAAGCCCTCCGCAAAATTACTTTTTGTGGTTCCATTGGCCTGAAATGGAGCATGCAGCACTTGATCATGTCTATTGATTGAAGTCTATGTAACTCAATATGCACAAAGCTCTTCTCAACCAAAGATCTTTAGAACAAAAATAAAATATGAAGGTTTGTGGATGTTAGCATAACTTGGATCAATTTTTAAAAACCTAAACATTTTTTCCTCCAAGACTAGACCAAAATCAATCACATTTTGTTTTTGAAATGGGGTGAGGAATGGGGTTAACATGTTTTTTTTTAACAAACTTTCAGCACTTCTTTCAAACAAAACATTTATTGAAATTGCTAGTGCTTTCAGTTTTTCTCTCTTCCTATGCAGCATTCTTACACAAGCAGATGGGATAAGCTATCTAGTCTACTCTGAACTGACAGAGAAGCTCCTAATTCAGAAGCTGACTGCATTAACCTTGACTTTCAATGAGGTTGGCTTACCTAGAGCTGGCAGGCTCACTGTCTAAGGGTTCTTCTGAATTGATAGTTCCTGATTAAAGAATATCTGGCAATTATAGCTAGAAGTGCCTATGCTCAGCTCCAACTGGATGTCACTTATCTAGATCAAAGTACCCTTAGGAACTTCACTCATACTCTTGTTCTTTGTTTTCGGTTACATTACCATAATTTGCTCTACATAGGGATGCCTTTGAAAAACTCCAGGTTTCAGTGGCCAACATATTTACTGGCCAGTCATGATGCTGCCACTTTACTTTGGGAGCTGAGAATTTTCAAGGCCTGGGAATCAAAATAAGAGATTGCTATTCCCAGATAGATTCTGCTTGACCAGTTTTGTTGATTAGAGAACCCCAGAGAATACGGTTCTCCTTGTATCACGGAAACGGCATTGGTCACGTTGGTCAATGATCTCTGGAGGGCCCGGGACAGGGGTTATTCCTCTGTCCTTGTTCTTTTGGACCTCTCAGCGGCTTTTGATACCGTGGACCACGGTATCATGCTGCGGCGTCTCGGTGAGTTAGGAGTGGGAGGCACCGTTATGCGGTGGTTCTCCTCCTTCCTCACCGACCGTACG